TCTGTGTAGGTTTATATACACCCAAGACTAAATGGGTTGGCATGTATACAAACTCTTAATATGTGTATGTATGGATTAATGTGTGTATGTGTTAATACCAGACAGTATCTGTGTAGGTGTGTGTAGGTCAACTAATTTACCAGATAACATTTTTCTAACACTGATTGCTCTTATCGCTCTCACACTGTGTTGGTGTAGTGTTGGAGAGGGTGAGGAGGTTGAGGGTGTGTTAGAAAAGTGGGTGGGGGGGGGGGGAAGTAGTGTGTTGGTGTGGGCGAGGAAGTTCGAGGGGTGGTTAGAAAAGTGTGGGGGGAGAGAGTAGTGTGTTGGTGTGGCGAGGGAATTAGAGGGTATATTGATGGAGAGGGTGGTAGAGAGTGTGTTGGTGGGAAGGTAAATGTGTTGGAGAATGTGCAAAGTAAGGAGAGTATGCAGTGTGTATGTTGAACGGTGAGTTGGTGTGTATTGTTCGTAGAGGTGAGGATGTAAACAGTGCATGTGCTGTGGGAAGTAGTATGTAGTGGCAGGAAGAGTCTGCTGTGTCCCGTAGCTCGATCGTTAGTGCACTCAGCTCACACACTGAGGTTCGGAGTTCGAATCTCCGGTACATCTGGAAAACATAAGGGACGTGTTTCCATAGGACAGCTACTGTCCCTGTTCACCCATCAGTATAAAATAGGGTACCTGGGTGTTAGTAGACTGGTGTGGGTCGCATCCTGGGACAAAACTGACCTAATTTGCCCGAATGCTCAGCATAACAAGCGGCTTTCTATATAGTAGTATGTTACTAATGTCAGCTATGGTCTGTACACCTTGTACATGTACTGGTAGAAATAAAGATATTATTATAAATCATCAAGCAGAAATAAAGCAAATCTTTCAGTGGGCCAGAGAAAACAACGTGATGTTTAATGAATTAAGACATATTTCAGTTACTCCGTTATGGAGAACTTGAGGAAAAAAAAGCTTGAACAGAGTATAAAATTAATTCTAAATCACACAAATAGACTGAAAAATTAATGTGCAGGACTTGGGAGTGAAAATGTCGGATGATCTTAACCTTCAAGGATCAAAAATGCCAGGAAAATAATAGGACGGAAAAGAGAACCTTCAAAACAAAGGATGCCAAGCAAATGATTATCCTCTTTGAGGTAATTATTCTCTCTAGGATAATACTGCTGTACACTAACGGCCCCCCTTTTAAGGCAGGTGAATCTGCTGATTGGAGAATGTACGCTAAACCTACAAGGGTCATACACCACAACTCACTGAAGGCAGAAGTTCAATCAAGCACCTTAATCACTGGAAACGTTTAAAGTCCCTTGACCTATACTCCTTAGAATGCAGGCGAGAAAGATACATCATAATTTACACCCGGAAAATCCTAGAGGTACTGGTCGTAAACCTGCACCCAGAAATCACTCCCTTCAAAAACAAGACTTGGCAGACGGTGCAACATACCCTCACTGAAAACCTACGTTGGATGAGTTTCGAATCTTGCTACTCTCGGAGCTCGGCCATGGGCCAGGCTAAGGTGCCATGAGTACACAGAGATAACACAATAAGTGTCCGGGGTCCAGGACTATTAAGCAGCCTCCTATCACACAAAGGGAATTACCAATAGACCTCTAGATGCCTTCAAGAGGAAACTGGATAGGTTCATAAAGTCAATTCTTGATCAGCCGGGCTGTGTGGCCAGCAGTAACAACCTGGTTAATCAAGCCTCAATCCACCGGGAGGCCTGGCCATGGACCGAGCCGCGGGACACTCGCCAGGCAGACTCCAGGTAGACGCGGTGAAAGAGAATGTGATGAAAGAATAAGAAAAAAAAATGTTAGTGTGAGAAGTGTGTGGGGAAGAATGTGGGGGAGAGAAGTGTGTACTGTGTGTACTCACCTAGTTGAGGTTGCAGGGGTCGAGTCTTAGCTCGTGTGTGTGTGTGTGTGTGTGTTTGTGTGTGTGTTTTTGTGTTGTTTTTGTATGTGTGTGTTTGTGTGTTTGTGTGTGTTTGTTTTGTTTGTGGTGTTTTGTGTGTGTGTTTGTGTGTGTGTTTGTGTGTGTGTTTGTGTGTGTGTGTGTTTGTGTGTGTGTTTGTGTGTGTGTTTGTGTGTGTGTTTGTGTGTTTGTGTGTGTGTGTTTGTGTGTGTTTGTGTGTGTTTGTGTGTGTGTGTGTGTGTGTGTGTGTGTGTGTGTGTGTGTGTGTGTGTGGTTACCTGGAGGTTACCTGGAGGTTATTCCGGGATCAACGCCCCCGCGGCCCGGTCCACGACCAGGCCTCCCGATGGATCAGGGCCTGATCAACTAGGGTGCTAGGAAGTACTTGTAGGTAGGTAGGTTTTTGGGTAGGAAGGTGTGGTAATATGGGTCTAAGAATATATTAGGCGGATATATTAAGAAGTGTGTAGTGGTAGAGACGTGTTAAGAGTGAGAAAAGGCTGAGGTAGGTGAGTATTAAGGGAAATAGATAGATGGACCACTGGATATATGTACAGTGGGAACATGGAGGGTACACTACGTGCGGGCTCAGTTGTTGGGCAAAATGCCTGGGGGGACACTGGGTTGTATTTACTGGAGATGTGGGAGGTGGGGTGTTGATGCCCGGGCAGGGAGATAAACTGTGTGTGTATGTGTGTGTGTGTGTGGTGTGTTTACAGGACAGTACCACCTTATCTGCCACTCAGTCACCTGTCAGTTTCGAACAAGCTCTGACAATGAATATTAATGGAGATGTAGCGTAGCCATTTAAGAATCACTAAAAAAAAAAAACTTGCTCAACCTCTTCTGCTCTTCCAGAAGCTTTTATTTATATTTTAGACGTGACATCTCACAAATTACTGAGCCAGTTTGTGGGCAGAGAAAATTTTGTTAATGCAATTCTACACATTGCTACAGTGATTATTTGATCATCTGAGGTATTCAGTGTTTACAGAGTGGCGCTGTCAGTGTTTCAGGAAATTTACTCAAATTCCATGGTATAATTCAGATCATTTCGTTCGTTCATATTAAGATTTTTAAATAGCCTGTAACCTAGTCCTTTGTTATTTCATGATTACTAGTTGACTTATGTTTCTCCTTCTAACCATGAGGGAACTCAAAAAATATTCGTCAAAAAAGGATATATAAATGCACATGTATAAAAATATAACTATAATTCAGAAATATATGGTCATATTCTGAAGTTGATAATACAACGTTCCCAAGCCAACTGATGGAGAGGGAAACAAACATTGTTGTAAATAAGGCAACATCTCAACAGATAACAACAACTAACATAAGTTCTTAAGGCACGATCAAGTGTATCACTGGAGGCGGCAGTTGTGCTCCCCTCTGGATGATGTCATCCACGAACACTACACGCACACACACACCGCTTCCCCCTCCCAGCACATGCCGGAGGGGATTTTCTGCACTTTTCGGAGATCCATAGGGTACTGCCGCCGCGGAAGATGGGGTTCCTGCATTTCCTGACGATCCAACTTTCTGATCCTGTGAAGTGTGTTGAGGTTCCTGTAGTGCCCAGAGATCCACTGCTTCTGTAGGTGGATGGCGTTACTGAAACTGAAGATCAATACTGCGAAAGACTGAGAGATTCCCACTCCTACCAGAGATCCACAGGCCAGTGATGCTGAAGGGGTTCCTGCTTCTTCTGAAGATCAATATCCCCCAACTGCATTACTTATTGAGGCTCTTGCGCCTCCAGAGACAGCTGACTTCCTCTCGTAAGCCGGGGACTCGTCTTTCACACACGAGCTGAGAACTGTCTTCAACAAGTCTCCCATATAAAGGATCACTGCCCCAAGTACTGGTACTTGGGAGAGGATCACGGGAATGGAATCTGTAGGATCCTCTCTGTCACTCTAGGCTACAGGAACAAATGAGGGCATGGAGAGGATCACAGTGAGTGGAATATTGTTCGTCGCCGTCACTCCTGCAGAAACGAAGGAACGGAGGCATGGCGCCAGTGGAATATCTTCGTCGGTGGTGACCTGTCCTCACGCCCCTGGATCACTAGCACAGGTTCTGCCAGCCACACTCACACCGCTCAGCTTCCCGGCCGTGCAAGGTGTCCTGAAGCACTAGCAAAGTACACACCAACTCTACATTACTTGCTAAAAATCGCCGTAATGGCACTGGAAGCTGGCGAGCAGTTATACAATGAGGGTTGGCGAGGAGAAGGGCAGGATGTGAGGTAAGGCATGCGAGTACTTTTGAGATACAGCTGTTGCAGGTATGACCACACACCTGGCAGTCTTGAGGCACAGCTGCTGCAGGTGTGACCACACACCTGGTTGTGTTGAGGTGCTGTTCCTGCAGGTGTAGCCACAGAACTGGTTTCTTTGAGGCACATGCTGCAGGTACAGTTTGTTCTGCAGGTTGTAACCACAACACCGGGTGATCTTGAAGAACAGCTGCTGTAGGTGTGGCGACACACCTGCAGTAGGTGCAGGTACACACACATACCAGCGAAGATGGCGCAGTACAGAACACAATGTTTTTTTCCTACCCTCCTTCAGCAGATACACTTCACAACATCGTTACGGAGGGTGTATCACAATCACCATAAAAAAAGTACTACGACGTCACCAGCTGGCATCACACCCTGGGGTGATGCCCTACACATATTGCACATCTGTGGCGTCAACACCACCTAACCCCCATCACTCCTCTCAATTTCCGCGTTCGGTCACCAGAGTAGATCACAGAGTTCAACGAGAGGCGCTGTAACATCTTTTGCGTCCCCTGCCAGCGAGGGCCCAAGGCTGCCACAGGTCCCGCCCTTGGAGAATAAAACTGAGGTAACTTATGGGGCGGTGCTACCAAGGCCTGCTGGCAGTTGGGGCAGGTGGTGGCAGCTAGGGGCAGGCGGTGGTAGCTGGAGGCTGGCGGTGGCACGTTAAATGTTGTCAGGGGCGGCACACAGCTTCAAAAACATCACAGACTGTAGATTGTAGCCGAATGTAGGGAGGCGCCCACATGGAGGTCCTGGCCGCCGACAAGAGGGCTGGGGCTCTAGTTGCCCCACGAGAGCTGTAAGCCACCCACACGAGAGCTCCAACCACCCCCACACTGTTCTGGCCGCCCACATGAGGGTTCTAGGCCGTCCTCACAGTTCTAGAAGACCCCACGAGAGCTCTGGCCGCCAACAAACACTCAGTATTGCACAGGGCGAAGGCTTCCCTGCTCAACACCACGCATGGCACGGATCACTAGGCTAGAGGCAACAATATCACAACAACTACCGTCTACTGGAGGCGGAGCGCAGCAGGTACTGCATCACATCATACTTGCCTCGCCAGCAGGCTAGATGCAGGGGCGAGAAGCCATCACGGTTAGTAAGGTGGAGGGAAGCACCGTGGGCCACCAGCACCTTGATCACCTCCAGGTTACCGTCCATACAGGACTGCGTCAGCGCCGTCTGCCCGTCCGCCGTGAAGCCGTTGATCTGCACCAGCTGCGAGTACCGCGTCAGGATGCGCTTCAGCTCTCTGGGATCCCCGTCCTGCACTGCCCTGACGAATTCGGCTTGACAGCCGAACTGTTCCACCCCGGGATACCCGGAGTCGGGAGGGAATTGGAAGCCGAAATCGGGCGAGGCGGACCGCTGGTATCCCGGGCTGGCCGGGCAGCTGTAGGTAGGAGATGCGCCCCACGTTACTACCGGAGCTGCTACTGCTGCTGGTGGTGCTGTAGGCGGGGCTGTGCGCCGTGTAAGCCGGGGAGTACAGCCTCTGGTCATCGTAGGGATCAGTAAGGGGCGCAGGAGACGGCTGTGGGGACGCCAGCGGAGACGACTCCCCAACAGACATGATGGAATCTGGGGACGATGGGCATCGTCAGAACACACGGAGCTGGCGCGTTCCACCTTCATAGTTGCTGGGGTATGGGGGAGCTCTGTGTGTGTGTGGGACTCTTGACTCTAGTCCCTGGGACTCAGACGCGGCACATGTGACCTACTGCGAGAGCTCGTGGGTGAGAGAAGTGCTCGCGGCGAGTGCTGGCGACTGACTGAGGTGGTGTGAGGCCGGATGGCGGGCCTCAGGGAGGAGGTGCTGCACCCTGGCGGATCTCTCGAGCACCACCACGTGGGAAAAAACTGACGGCAGCGTGGAGAACGGTGTCAGCGCTGACACCCGCCCACCCCGCCGTCCACCACCACCACCGTGCCGCCCACCCCGCCGTCCACCACCACCACCGTGCCGCCCACCCCGCCGTCCACCACCACCACCGTGCCGCCCACCCGCCGTCCACCACCACCACCGTGGCCGCCCACCCGCCGTCCACTACCACCACCGTGCCGCCCACCCCGCCGTCCACCACCACCCACCGTGCCGCCCACCCCGCCGTCCACCACCACCACCGTGCCGCCCACCCCGCCGTCCACCACCACCACCGTGCGCCCACCCCGCCGCCGTCCACCACCACCACCGTGCGCCCACCCGCCGTCCACTACCACCACCGTGCCGCCCACCCCCGCCGTCCACCACCACCACCGTGCCGCCCACACCCGCCGTCCACCACCACCCACCGTGCCGCCCACCCCGCCGTCCACCACCACCACCACCGTGCCGCCCACCCGCCGTCCACCACCACCACCACCGTGCCGCCCACCCCGCCGTCCACCACCACCACCGTGCCGCCTCACACCCCGCCGTCCACACACCACACTGTGCCGCCCACCCCGCCGTCCACCACCACCACCGTGCCGCCCACCCGCCGTCCACCACCACCCACCGTGCCGCCCACCCCGCCGTCCACCACCACCACCACCACCACCGTGCCGCCCACCCCGCCGTCCACCACCACACCGTGCCGCCCACCCCGCCGTCCACCACACCACCACCGTGCCGCCCACCCCGCCGTCCATCACCACCACCGTGCCGCCCACCCCGCCGTCCAACACCACCGTGCCGCCCCACCCCGCCGTCCACCACCACCACCAGTGCCGCCCACCCCGCCGTCCACCACCACCACCGTGCCGCCCACCCCGCCGTCCACCACCACCACCGTGCCGCCCACCCCGCCGTCCACCACCACCACCGTGCCGCCCACCCCGCCGTCCACCACCACCACCGTGCCGCCCACCCCGCCGTCCACCATCACCACCGTGCCGCCCACCCCGCCGTCCACCACCACCACCGTGCCGCCCACCCCCGCCGACCACCACCACCGTGCCGCCCACCCCGCCGTCCACCACCTACCACCACCCTGCCGCCCACCCCGCCGTCCATCACCACCACCGTGCCGCCCACCCCCGCCGTCACCACCACCACCGTGCCGCCCACCCCGCCGTCCACCACCCACCACCGTGCCGCCACCCCGCCGTCCACCACCACCACCGTGCCGCCCACCCCGCCGTCCACCACCACCACCGTGCCGCCCACCCCGCCGTCCACCACCACCACCGTGCCGCCCACCCGCCGTCCACCACCACCATGCCGGCCCACCCCGCCGACCACCACCACCCTGCCGTCCACCCCACCGTCCACCAACACCACCACTCTGCCGCCCACCCAGCAGTCCGCCCCACCCTGCCGTCCACCACCACCACCCAACCGCCCACCGCCACCACCACCCCCATGTGCCCATCGCCACCCTGCAGCTCACCGCACCACTACAATCCTGCCGCCCACCGCCATCACCAGCACCTGCCGCCCACCGCCATCACCAGCACCCTGCCGCCCATCGCCACCACCACCATCCTGCCGCCTACCGCCACCCTGCCGCCCCACCACCCTCTGCCGCCCACCACCACCCTGCCGCCCACCACCACCCTGCCGCCCACCACCACCACCCTGCCGCCCACTGTCGCTCATCTTGTCGCCCACCGCCACCACCACTCTGCCGCCCACCGCTACCGAAACGTTCACCGCTACCCTGCCGCCTACCACTCATCCTGTCTGCCGCCCACCACTCACCCTGCCGCCCACCACTCACCCTGCCGCCCACCACTCACCCTGCCGCCCACCACTCACCCTGCCGCCCACCACTCACCCTGCCGCCCACCACTCACCCTGCCGCCCACCACTCACCCTGCCGCCCACCACTCACCCTGCCGCCCACCACTCACCCTGCCGCCCACCACTCACCCTGCCCCATCCCGCAGCTAACTCATCCTATCGCTCATCGTGCCAACCACCTATCCACCTAACAGTGGATATACGCAGATAGAAATACCTCAACATATACACTGACAGGTATGCAGAGGTACATCTCAATATACTGTATATACCTGGAGTCTACCTGGAGGGCATTCCGGGGATCAACGCCCCCGCGGCCCGGTCCATGACCAGGCCTCCGGTGGATCAGGGCGTGATCAACGAGGCTGTTACTGCTACGGTTACTGCTAAGTTACGTATATATCATGAATATACTGAAAGGTGTGGCCGAGTGGTCTATAGCGACACTTGGGGGACCTTGCCAGCCTCCCTGACGTGGTTTGGAATCCTGCTCACTGCGATCTTTCTCTGCACTGAAAGATGTGTTTCTGTACGTCAGTGTTTGGAAGAAATTACAATAAAGTATCACCTCCCTGACTGAGGTATCACCTCCCTGACTGAGGTATCACCTCCCTGACTGAGGTATCACCTCCCTGACTGAGGTATCACCTCCCTGACTGAGGTATCACCTCCCTGACTGAGGTATCACCTCCCTGACTGAGGTATCACCTCCCTGACTGAGGTATCACCTCCCTGACTGAGGTATCACCTTCCTGACTGAGGTATCACCTCCCTGACTGAGGTATCACCTCCCTGACTGAGGTATCACCTCCATGACTGAGGTATCACCACATTAAGTGGAGGTATCACCTCCCTGACTGAGGTATCACCACATGAAGTGGGGTATCACCTCCCTGACTGAGGTATCACCACATGAAGTGGAGGTATCACCTCCCTGACTGAGGTATCACCTCCATGACTGAGGTATCACCACATTAAGTGGAGGTATCACCTCCCTGACTGAGGTATCACCACATGAAGTGGAGGTATCACCTCCCTGACTAAGTTATCACCTCCATGACTCAGGTATCATCTCCATGACTCAGGTATCACCTCCATGACTCAGGTATCACCTCCATGACTAAGTTATCACCCCATGACTCAGGTATCACCTCCATGACTAAGTTATCACCTCCATGACTCAGGTATCCCCTCCTGACTAAGTTATCACCTCCATGACTCAGGTATCACCTCCATGACTAAGTTATCACCTCCATGACTCAGGTATCACCTCCCTGACTAAGTTATCACTCCAGACTCAGGTATCCCCTCCATGACTAAGTTATCACCTCCATGACTCAGGTATCACCTCCCTGACTAAGTTATTCACCTCCATGACTCAGGTATCACCCCCCGACTAAGTTATCACCTCCATGACTCAGGTATCCCTCCATGACTAAGTTATCACCTCCATGACTCAGGTATCACCTCCCTGACTAAGTTATCACCTCCATGGACTCAGGTATCACCTCCATGACAAAGTTATCACCTCCAGGACTCAGGTATCACCTCCTGACTAAGTTATCACCTCCTGACTCAGGTATACCTCCATGACTCAGGTATCACCTCCAGACTAAGGTATCCCCTCGCTGACTAAGTTATCACCTCCCTGACTAAGGTATCACCTCGCTGACTAAGGTATCACCTCCCTGACTAAGGTATCACCTCCATGACTAAGGTATCACCTCCATGACTAAGGTATAAACCTCCCTGACTCAGGTATCACCTCCATGACTCAGGTATCACCCCCCATGACTAGGGTATCACCTCCATGACTAAGGTATCACCTCCCTGACTCAGGTATCACCTCCATGGCTAAGGTATCACCTCCCTGACTCAGGTATCACCTCCATGGCTAAGGTTCCCCTCCAGGGACTAAAGTATCACCTCCAGGGATTTAAGGTATCACCTCCTGACTCAGGTATCACCTCCATGGCTAAGGTATCCCCTCCACGACTAAGGTATCCCCTCCATGACTAAGGTATCACCTCCGTGACTAAGGTATCACCTCCGCGACTAAGGTATCACCTCCAGGGACTAAGGTATCACCCCCAAATTACTAAGGTATCACCTCTCTGACTAAGGTATCACCTCAAGACTAAGGTATCACCTCCATGACTAAGGTATCACCTCCATGACTAAGGTATCACCTCCACGACTAAGGTATCACCTCCCTGACTAAGGTAGCCCCTCCCTGACTAAGGTATCACCTCAATGACTAAGGTATCCCTCCATGACTAAGGTATCCCCTCCACGACTAAGGTATCACCTCCCTGACTAAGGTAGCACCTCCCTGACTAAGGTTTTCACCTCAATGACTAAGGTATCGCCCCCTTTTCACAAAAGGAATCACCTCTCTTACTAAGGTATAACCTCACTGACTAAGGTATCACCTCAATGACTAAGGTATCCCCTCAATGACTAAGGTATCACCTCAGTGACTAAGGTATCACCTCAATGACTAAGGTATCACCTCAATGACTAAGGTATCACCTCAATCACAAAGGTATCATCTCCCTGGACTAAGGTATCACCTCCCCGGGACTAAGGTATCCCCTCCATCACTAAGGTATCACCTCCTGACTAAGGTATCACCTCCAGGGACTAAGGTATCACGCCCCTGACTAAGGTTATCCCCTCCATCACTAAGGTATCACCTCCCTGACTAAGGTATCCCCTCCATGACAAAGGTATCACCTCCTGACTAAGGTATCACATCCATTACAAAGGTGTCACCCCCATGACTAAGGTATCTCTTCCCTGACTAAGGTATCTCCTCCCTGACTAAGGTATCCCCTCCAGGGACTAAGGTATCACCTCCCTGACAAAGGTATCAGCTCCACAACTAAGGTACCCCCTCCACGACAAAGGGTATCACCTCCTGATTAAGGTATCACCTCCATGACAAAGGGTATCACCTCCATGATTAAGGTATCACCTCCATGATTAA